CGACTGGGAGATTGACCGCTCTGAGATCATGATGCTCAACAAACTCGGTGGGTTGGCGCTGCCTCTATGACTGGCCGGTTGGGCAGTCGATTTAGTTAGTCACCAGTCTAGTCTGTATTGAAGACACGCACGCATGGCATTGCTGAGAGTGCATTTTTGTTTAGTTCTTGCGCTCTCTGCTCTCTCATTCTGGTCGTGATTGAGGACGGTAGTCCCCCGAAAAACTTATATGCCTTAACTTATGGGAAGACATTCATTCTGCTTCCACAGGGCAGAAACTTTATAGTGTTGGCTTGGTTCGCCCTAGTCGGCGGATTTGTGAGACCTGATGGATCAGCTATCAATAGGTTTATCTGGGGGACTCGCGCATGGTACATTAGTTGGCGGTTTGCGAAGTCCTACCGCAACTAGTGCTAATCTTCAAAATCGACTCGCCACACTTGAATTAGGACCGAAGTGGTGGGCGGTGGCTGGCAATGAAGCAAAGTTATAAATGCTCTGAATGCATTTATCTCAAACAGCTCAAGATTTGACCAATGTTTCTATTTCGACGAACAAAGTTGATGGATATCCATCGTAATCATTTGAATGGTATATTAAAGGGAAAGGAGTTTACAAACCAGCAACCAATGAGGTCCTTCCGACCGGTCATTTATGCAAACAATGCTACCAAATTTAATGGAATTGCAACAATTACCTGTAGGCTGAGAGGCGTCCCTCACTGTAATTTTGTCGTCTCAAGGTTTTCGCTATTTGCCGTCCCATTTGAGCAGTTTCTGCGAAAGACCGTTGATAGTATCACAATACATCCCCAAGGACATGAAATATCTCATTGAATCGCAGCTCTGGAATTGTTTCCTCCAGCTCCTCACGTATGAAGTTGCAGTACTCAGGTTTTCTCCAAAGATTCTCTGAGGCTCACAGCTCCCTAAGTAGCTGAAAATTTTATGGTGTTACCCGCGGTGGTTTCGATGACTTCTCCTCTGCTTCGTCAATCACTACGGTATTCAAGTGAATATAAATCAAAATTAGGATTGACTCGGAGAACATTCGATGATTTTGCATTGCATCGGGAGGACCTGCGGACTTAGTGATTATGACGTGTTCCGTTGATTTTGAAGGACCTACAATCCACGTCCTCTTTGCGAACGCACGTCCTACGTCTTGTTTTCACTCCTCTCCATCGTGTTGCCTTTTATTCTTGTCCAGTTCCAATAAAAGGTAACTGGTTTACTCACAATTTTTTGCAACATGGAGGGATATCGTGTCTTTAGGTCATGATCATGACCATAACTCGTCCTTTTCATGTCAATTTTTTAAGCGAATTTCTTATGGATGATGCAGATCTTGAGATCGAAATGGCTGTCAAAATTTGATTCAGGCTCGATCTTCACAGAATTGGTTTTGGTGTAGTATCCAATCCTAGAAATCAAATGCAAGCTACTATTACCGTACAGAGGGGCTGTGAGATTACATGGTCATACTTTCTGAGTACATTTAAGTTACATCATTTGATGAATAAACTGCTGATTCGAAGTCGGATCTTTTGCAGTTAATGACCTTATCTCAATCCTTACCGTGACTACTGTGAGCTGTCGATTGAGTTTGTCAAAAAACAGATTTAAGTGTGTGAACAACCACTTTTTTAACTTCCAGGTAATCCTCGAAAAGGTAGGTTCCCTTCTCACAGAGTTTGCCATGAGTGATGTCTCCCTTTGTTTAGGTTGGGGTCAGTATGGTGATGTCTACGAGGCTCTCTGGAAGCGCTACAATTCTATCGTTGCTGTCAAGACGCTGAAGGTGAGTAGGTTTTCCTCATTAACACCATTCATTACGGTATAGAAGAATTTCGAATGCAAATCATGCCAGTAATGCCCTCAATGCAGCACTCGGGTTACCTCTAAAAATGCTATTGGATATTCAGGTTTGAAAGAAGCCTTGTGAACGTTCGCAAGGGCTAAATGGCTAGTAGTAGAGTCGAATAGGGTGGTAGATGTCCATTATGCTTGCAAGGGGATCGAAGAGTCTGCATAGTTAAATTTGCGTCCTTCTTTTTGAGTGCTGATCATGCGCTCCCTGTCATCACCCCCCCAGTTCAGATGATACGAGCCCTCTTCTAATCTTCGGTGAACCTCCAAGACGAGACCTAGGGTGATATGATGGTTTAGCGTCAAGGAGAGAATGCCCTTTACTAATGTCGTGGATTTGCTTGGAATTCGTAAATATTATGTTCTGTTGGGTGAACTTCATTGAGTTGGGAAAAGGGAATCATTCTGGAAGCAGTGGTGGTTAAGATTAGACAATCTTCTACAAAGGGCACATTCTGTATATCGCGGGGAGTGTCATATCCTTAGGTCATAACCATTGATTACGGTGTTTATAGCAGTTCCCGACTGCTTAAACCTGACCTCGCTTCATAAATTGTGGCGGTGCAAAAAGGGAGTTGCCGAAAGTCGACTTATTGTTTTGAGACGGTATAGGACTTATCGCATTACTTCCGTGCCCCAGTCATCCCTATACCTTTACATCGGCATGAATGAAGTGCAGCTGAATAGTGCTTCCTCGCCCTACCCTGCTTTTTGTTGTCATGGGAAGTTAAAAATAATTTAACACATACACATACGCGCAAATTTTAGTTTTTGCGTCACTCCCTTTGCTAACCAGCTAGCTAACCAGTTAACCGTCCAACACAGCCTCCCCTTTTCCCGCTTGTAGCAAGACGTGGACCTGAATCTGAATGACTTTCTTGCTGAGGCCTCAATTATGAAGAATCTCCAGCACAAGAACCTTGTTCGACTTCTCGGTAAGTCGGGGTTATCTCCTCTGAACCTTCTCCATCTGTGTTTTTAATTGACAAGGCTATTCCGATTGTCTCCTTGTTCCCATGACTTCAGTTTGGCAGCTGTATATGTGCGGCTTTAGATTGATCGCTTGGAAAGACGGATTTTTCTGTCGTTTATCCTTCGTTGTGAAGTATCAGCTGCTAAAGCGGTTTTCCCTTTTGGCTCCTGGTCTTTACTTATCTTCCCGCACAAATAAATCTCCTTAATTGGTGTTTAGGGATTCCGATCACTTTTCACAATTTCTTTCAAAACTTGTCAAAATTTCAACTTCACTACCCTAACGCTTTATAGTGGAAAAGGGTGGTATGAAAATATCCGCGATTCAGCGTTCATGGCCCTATTTTTATAACTACCCCTTAGAAAAGTAATTATCACGGCGATGTTTCATTTTCACTTCTCATGAATTTTTTTTTGATGTTCCATACTTTTGTGCATTCACACCGGGTGGTCCAATTCAGGGCTTGACTTTTCACCCTTAAAATACTTCGAACAATATTTTGTTGCTTATGTGAGTAGAGTATGTGATGTCGATCACATTTCATGCTTTTTGCATCTGCAGATAAACTTGAGACGCCTCGAGACTTCCCTGAAGATAAAAGAAGACATGATATCGGGGCAGAATACATAATGTTGGTTGTACAGTAGGGCTAGGGGCAAACTGGATTGGCCCGGAGACCAGACCACAATGTGGAGATATACTGGAGGAGACTTAATTTGCCCGATTTTAAATCTG